CAGACCTCTCAACATTCAACATCACCTTCAGATGGGGCTACAATGATTAATTCCATCTCAAGTGCCACCTCTTTAAAACTCCTGTGTTGATCCTTGCAGGAGATTGCACACAGGTCGCAACCGAAACCATTGCGATTGTCCGTCGCTTGCCACACCCTTCATGCAACAGGTACCGCGTGGTGTTTGTCTTCAGCACCCCCGAAGACAATGTCCCGCGCAGATCCTTGTGTGACCAGCATTTGCCTGCTTTCATTGACATGTTTGATCAGATGCTGGAGAGGGTGGTGAATGGCCCTGGTTTTCTTGATATGCGGAGTGTTGATGCAAATATGTACCTGGTCCTCTCGCTGCGAGCCTTCAATCGTGGGCCACCGATGATTCCCCACAACAGCCCGTGTTCAGAGGAATCTTTCCACATTTCGGTTGGCGAACACCTTGGCTTGCTGTCTTGGATCCGTTTCAAGCCTCATGAGAAATTCTGCTTGCGCGAGTACTTGCGGTGCTTCATGGAGCGGCTGGGGTACCAGTTGAAGATCTATGAGGTCATGGATGGTCGCAAGCTTGTCCCCTACCAGTGTGCCGTTGTGCGGTGGGAGTGGAGCCAGTTGAGAGCGTCTTTCCACGAAGCCTTCTTGGTGCAGAAAGTAGCTTACCGCCGTGCCAATGGGGGACCGAAGAGCCCGAACTTGGTTGAAGCTGGGCTGGGCCGTGTTCCAAACAACATGTCGCACTTATTTTCGTACACTTTCTACACACAGCAGAGAGAGAGAGAGATACACACACATATATATATAATTATATATACACAATACGCACATACACACATACACACATACATACATACGTACGTACATACATACATACAGACAGACAGACATACACACAGACACGCAGACATACAGACAGACAGCCAGCCAGCCAGCCAGGCAGGCAGGCAGGCAGACAGACAGAGACAGAGACAGACAGACAGCCAGCCAGCCAGCCAGGCAGAGACAGACAGACAGAGGACAGAGACAGAGAATAATATTATGTTCTAAGGAATAACTCATCATTTCATGATGCTGGCTGCTTTTCCAAAGCTATCTGATGCTCTAAAATGGACCACCTTTAGCTGAATTTAGCGCACGCATGTCTGGAAGCTGGTGGTTTTAGCAGCCGTGATCAAACCGTGAGACAACCGTAAGACACCGTGAGACCCCCCGAACGTCATTGTTTTTTTTTGCATTGGCGTCATGGTTTTACCGTGAGCCAGCCGTGAGCCAACAGTGACTAACGACTACCCTGTGCGTCTCGTGGAATAGACACGAGAATAATGATGGTGAAACATATGTATATATATACATATATATACACGTACACACACACACATATATATATATATACATATACACACATATTTATTCTCACACGCACACACTATATATATATATACACATATTTATTTATATATACATATGTATACATATTAAATGAATCATGTGTGTATATATATATATGTGTGTGTGTATGATCAAAGGAAGTTAGCTCGCAAACTTCCGCATTACAAACAAATATGTTTATTTTTCCTAATTTCACTATTTCACCCACAAAGGTAGCCATAGCGGCTGGTAGGTGGAAACAGTATTGACAGCAACAGTCCGGAACTGTTCAATGCATGTCAAACTGTGAGGGAGCATGTGAGTTCGCGGGTGAAACCATGTAAGTGTGCGCATCATTGTCGTGCTTTTACGGGTATGGTGGCCCCAGGCATCGCGAAAGGTAGGTCTGTCTTTACGCGATTCGGGACCTCGATCTGGAAAAGGTGTTGCAAAAATGTGCACGAGACTGTAGTGAACTCGATTTGCAGTTGAACATGTTCAAAAACTCAGGAGGCTTTGGTGCAGAGCCAGGTCAGGTTCAACAGGGTTCCGGAGAAGGTTCCGGACACGGTTCCGGAGAAGGTCTGGGAGGCTTTGGTGCAGACCAGGAGTTGCGGCCATTTAACTCACGGAAACCCAGCTGAGGGGTTTCCAGCGCTTGGCTTCGCAGCACGCTTCAGAAAGATTTGTATAATAAAACGTTGCGGCTGTTGTGGATACCACCGAAGCATAGTTTAAGATTGTTTCATTTGCATCTCAACACCATGTGTTTTTTCGCTGATGCACGTCACAACCTCAACGCTTCACTGCTTTTGCAATCTTTTGCACCGCGGAAATTGTCTATATAAACCATTGATGCTTTATATTTATAGGTATTGTTTTGGGCACTACTGGAAATGTATTGTATTGTTCGTTTCTTAGATTCTCTGGCCTGACCAGCCGAGTTCCCGTTTTTTGTTTTGTTTCGGCATTGTTGAAAACCCCAAAAACGCCAGGAAGATGCGACTCCCCATTTCTTACCCGGTGTTCATCAAGGTGATTCCGATTCCCAGTTCTCTGTGCCCAAGCGAAATATCACGGTGCGCAAGACGTTCGTGGAGCTCCACGAGGAGGAGGACGAGTTGTCCAACCAAAAACTGTCCAAGCAGCTGAAACGCAGCATTTCTACCGGGGAAATCACGGCATGCTTTGTGTAGAGATTAATTTGGCACCTTGCCAGCGTATAGGATTATGCTTTTGGCTGATTCTAGATGATGTAGATGCGCATGGAAACATGGCAAACCATTTCAAATTGGATCATTATGGAGAACAATATTTCTTTACCATTTGGACGGAAAGTAAACTCCAACATCTGGCAATTGGCCAAAAGTAGATGAACTTGTACAGCCAGGGCGTGTGGAGGCCATGATCTCCTCCAGGGAGATCCTGTGAAGATTGTGCGGTGTAAGACCATTTAGTATCCATGGAGATCCATGTGGTTTTTATTGTCACGAAATCTCTTCATATCTATAAGGAATATAGCTGTAAAGATGATATGTATACAGTAGATGGTTTTGGTTCTAGGTCATGTTTTTCAATTTCCTTGGTTCAGCGCCGAGGGCCTGGTACTTGGTACTTCTCAGCCGCTCCGCAGAGCTGCGAAATCGCAAGTGCCGCTGTGAAGTTAACTCCCCTGCCGTCCTGAAGCCTCGGAACTATTCAGAGCCTGGAAAAAAATCCAGTGCGGCGCATGATCCGAGGAATTTCTTGATCAGTTTGGATCGTACCGACTGGGTAAAAAATTGTAGATACGTATTTGTGTGCGCGTGCGTTTATCTTGGTGTATATTGTAAAATATTGTATAATATCCCATATAAGCAATGAATTGGTGAGTGTTCCCGTTCGCGGACGGGTCTCTTGCGATCTGTTGCTTGCGTGATAGATGCATCGGTTTTTGGCTTTTGCAACCCAAGGGCTGGTCAAACAGGCGCCAGAACCAGTAGCTTGCAATGATGGGCAAACACCGGCATCAGAACTGACCTTCAGTAGGAGGGGAATATCAAACAGCAACCGCCACACCAAGCCCCGCTTCAACTGCGAGGTCGTATGTGATAATATCTTGTGGAGATCCTTGTGAAATCCTCTGAGGTCCTTCTATGAAGATCTTGAAGATATCGTGCTAGAGGTTCTTGTGTGAAAGCTCTTGAAGATATCGTGGCATGCTCTTTGGTGTTTCTGTTTCAAAATCTTGGAAGATCCTGTGCAAGTTCCTTCTATGCCTATCATAGCCGATGGCAATCTTGTGAGGTTCTTCTAGGGGTCCTGGTATGAAGATCTCGTAGAGGTCCTTGTGCAAAGATCTTGTGGAGATCCTGGTGAAATCCTCTTAAGGCAGTCTTAGGGGCCCTTCTATGAAGACCTCGAACACATCTAGAGGTGCTTGCGTGAGAGCTGTTGTGGGACTCTCTTGGGGAGAGGTGCTTGTGTGAAAGGCTCTTGTGCGATGCTGTTGGTGTTCTTGTTCTCGTTTGCAGATTGTAAAAGATCCACCACAAGGTTTTTCTATGTCTATGACGATTTTGCGAGATTCTGCCAGGGATCCCGGCATGAAGATCTTGTAGAGGTCCTTGTCTAAAGGTTTTGTCAGCAGGTGTTCCCACCAACGCTTTGGGGTCTCCTGCTGGGATACAGTAATTTGTGCTGCAAAATTCCAGGGGCAGTGAGAGTTTCCCTCACGTAACTTTGGCCCAAGAGATTGGTTTGGTGGACACGCCGGGCACTTGGCACTTCTCAGCCACTGAGCTGCGATGAGCTGCGAAGAGCTGCTGTGCCATCTCGAAACCTTTCGGGCCGCCTGGAAAAGAATCCCAATGCAGCGCATGATCAGAGCAACTCTTGGATCAATATTTGGATCAGGTCGATTAGGTGAACGATTCTGGACGTGTAGCATGCGTGTGTATTGCTTTATTCCACTGTCCGCTGTTTTCACTAAAACGACCTGACGAAAACATGGACCGGTGATGACCGGTGAACGTTCTGATTGGCTGCACCATGGCTGCAAGGTCTCTTGCGTGCTTGACAGTTGCATCATCCTTTGCACCAACATTCAAGACTCGGGATGTCATCCGGATTCCCTGGCTGCCTTTTTTTAGATCAGGGCCAGGCAAAACAGGCGCCAGAAGCAAAAGCAATGACGGGCCCTTAAGAATCCAGGTGTTGGTCTGCACCTAAGGTATAACATGGTATAACATCATGGTATAACAATGTATAACATGGTATAACGGTATAACGGTATAACTGACCATTATTGGGAGAAACTTATAACTTTGAGATGATTCGAACTCTTCCGCCCTTCAGCGGCGGGTATCAAACAGCAACCACGACAACAAACCCAGCTTCGACCCCCCTGCATTGTGCAGTGGTTTCAAAGATGGGGATGGGTCAACTAGCTCAACATGCTCAACGAATCCCCGACAATTCTCCAAATCTTGGCATTCTTTTCGGTCACAGGACTTGTTTGGGCTCTCCAAGTGCTCACACTGGTTTCTACGAAGGTTTGTCCGATTTTAATGTTCATGCATGTATCAATATGTTCATATATGTTCATAAATTTTCCAGGTCCATCACTGGAAGGCCAATTTTTCCGACATTTTTCAGGGGCCATGGCATCATGACGTGGCATGGAGTCGCCGTTGGCCTCCCACTTTTCGGCGGAAGTGGCACTCGAGGTTCGGGGTGGCTACAAACAGGATTGTATGGAAGGTGCCATTTGCGTTTTTAATCGGTTTTATCCATGCAATGCCATAATCAAACTCCTGCTTTGTTCCAGGAACAACATATCAAGAAGTAATTGCGCAGATTGTGCGTACCTGAACTGGTGGTATGGAACTCTCTTTATATTTCGTGGCAAAGTATTTAATTGAAGAAGTATGAAGTTGCCTTATGGATCTCTCCCTGGATTGGGTGGAGGCTTGGAACCATTCCAACCTCATCGATGTCTTCGAAGATCTTCGAAGGGACCATTTTAGTTTGGGGTTCCATGTTGGATTCAGCCAATCCCCAATATTCCCCAATATTGTTGACTCTAGCAATAATGCATGGTATGCATGGTCAAGGTTTGCCCTGATTCTTATATCATCTTATATCGTTGTTGCTGGTGAACGGCGAAACAGCACCCTCATCGTATGAATTCGTTGGTTGAAAAGTTGATAAGCCAATTTTTAGTTCACCATTTTTTTTTGTTGGTCAGTTATGGTCAGTTCACCTTTCACGAGTGTCCTTATGTGACCTTAGTGAAATGAATTTGATGAACCTATAACAGTTACAACATCCCATAACAATATAATATATCATATATCATTAAAATTCATTAAATGGTATAGGTTCATCTTAAATTCCCAGTAAAATAGTGGTATATCTTACCCATCGTCATCTATCATCCCAGAACAATCAATGGTTCAACCGTCCCAGTGACGCTAGGCCTGGGCTTTGCTCCAAGCTGCGCCAGATGTGGCGGCGCAAAACGTGGCGCTAGTGGCTCCGGCCACAGCACTGGCTGCCAGGCACAGGGAATCACAGGGGACATCAGGGGACGGGGGTTTTTCAATCGACTAATCATATAATCCAATAAGTGGGTACCCAAGTCATCCAGAGAAAGATAGATTTCCGAATTTTTTGTAGGGTTTATGGGGATTATAACTCTAATCAATGGGGTTTAGACACCAACTTACAGCATGAGTAATATGATAATATGGACACAGCTGACATAACTGACATAACAGACATAACATAAATGAAATATATGAATGATGACGCATCCAAGTTCCAAGGATCCCTTTTCACCAACTTTTTTTGACGCTCCTCACCCGTTGTGCCTTCGAACTTGCCTCACCAGTCTGCCGAACTTGCGAAGTGGAGATGCCATTGAGGAGCACAGTTTCACTGGTGAGTGCCTTGGTGCCACCTTGGTGCCACCTTGGGCATCCCAGGTTGAATAATCATGCTTATACATGTTTATTTTTTTTAAAAAAAATCTGCTTATATACATGCTTGATTAATGGATAGATATGGATAGCAGTTACGGGTGATGACTGAAGATCGTGGAACAAACTTCCAGGAGAGGACCTTGGAGCTTCTTAGTCAGCTCCTCGGAGGGATGTTTTCATTTCTGAAGGACAGATGATGTTAGATGATGTTAGATGATATTGGATATTATTGGATATTATTGGATATTATTGGATATTATTGGCTATTAGATGTACACATTCAGAATGATCATTAACTTTCTAAATCATTCTATATATATATATATAGGCATATGACATATGTAATAAATTGTAATATAACATAACATATATATAATATTATATAATCATATATGGATTTGCTCGTCATATCCATCAGCATCTTGATTGCTGGAGGTCGCACTTGTCCTGGTCCCCTCCAGGAGGCCGAGGCAGCTGAAAATAGATTGGCACCTGGAGGTTTTTTTATTAGGGTCCCATCTCCCAAGTGGATTTTATTAAAAAAATATATTGTTAAGGTTTTCATTGGAATATTAGGGGAAAGTTTCGAAATCCAGTTTTTGGCAACATTTTATATAGATTTTAATAAGAGATTAAGACAAAAATTGAAATCAAGTTTTTAAATTTTTAGTATTAAGGCGTTCATTGGAATATTAGGGGCGCCCTAATACACAATGCCCCGGGATAATAAAAATAGATCACCGTGTTTGCCATTTGGGGGGGCCGTTTTAGTAGTAGGGAGAGTTGATTACCATCATTTGCATTCATTTGCCATCATGTGCCATGATTTCATGATTTTCCTGAATCACGGATGATGCGTAGTTGACTTTCCAGCATTTTCCACCTTGGATTTTCATGGGTTTTCCCGGGGAAGATGCTGGAAAACCGGCCAGAGCCCCAAGAAAAGGTTCCGCTGCTCACTCTGGAGCAGACCTTGCAGCGCAGCGGCAAAGGAGGCCACCGGGGTACCATGATCCAACTGATATGGGGAGAAATCATGAGACATCCGGGTGAATGACCCATAGTATCAATAAGCATCCCATTCCTTCATTGAAATAGATCGCTGGTGAATTGGGAAGACCAAGCTTGACAATACTCAAGCAACTTTAAAGGAGTATAGGCCGTAAAAAGATGTAAAAAGGGGAAGCGAAGCGATACAGTCCAACAAAGCAGGAAATCACCGCCTAGATTCAAGCCATGGAGTCTTTGCACCTCATGAGACGCAGCCAACAATGAATTGAGTCTTTACCATTCTTTACCCTCAAGGCCCTCGCTTAGGGTACAGGATGGGTCAAAACTAAATGGTCTATAAATATCTTTCAATAGTTTTTGCATGTTTTTGTTGTTCAATAATCTTTTGTTCCTGTAGCGCAAACCATCGGAGGCCGGCAAAAACAACGAGAGCTTTTTTCGGGCCTTGGGTCATGACCCGCCCAGGCGATGTGCACTTCATCCACTTTTGGCGAAGTCTTGGGGAGGCGACCGTGTCATGTGGAGAACTGTAGGGCTGCAGGGGCAGTTCTGCAAGTTTTAAGGAGAGTGACTGGGGCCATCAAAATGGGAGTTAATCCAACCTATCCAGTTGGATAGGTGATATCAATATGGATATATATATATATGGATATTAAATAGATCAATCTGAATACAGTAGTAAGAGTGTTAAATTTGAAGGCCATCTACCTATCTATTTCTGACGGTTAAAATCCATTATAATCCCATCCCTCTAGTATTAAGCAATTAAACACCCCCATTGTATGGTCCCAAATATGTGGTTCCTACTATCCCTACACCCACCATGGTTTTGGGGATGGGATTCATGGCATATGGTTGGTTAGTTGATATCCCATTGAAGCCCGTTAAATCCCGATTATCCTATCAATGTCCCGTTAAATCCACATTATGACTAATATTATATTATAATATCAGTATATTTCAACATCAGTATATAATAGTGTATATATATATATATACATATGATTACATATGTACATATGGTCCCGCCCGGCGCCCAGCAACCCTCCCCAGCCCCCCCCTAGCAACGGGGGTGGCCAGCATCCGTCAAGATCTCATATGCTCATATGCTATACTTACGTGCTGGCCTCGTGCCACCTATGCACTATCTACATGATACCTCTATAACACCCCACCCATCCCACAGGGGGGGGGGCGGGGGTAAAGTAGACCCTAGATACATGCTGGCCACATACGACCTACTTACTGCATTACACACTAGTTGTGCCAGTGACACACTACCTAGCCCCCACCCACCCCACAGGGGTAATGTAGATCCTACATCGATCATTTATATGCCAGCGACATGTCAACTATATCCGACACAAAGCCTCCAACATACAGCGTACATACAGGACCATGACCATGAGGGGGGAGGGGGGGTTGCAGGGCTGAGCCATATATACATAATTGTATATACATATATGTGACTATGTGTGTATAAATAAAAAATATATATATATATTATATAATCATTATATTACATATAATCATTATATATATAATCATTACATATATATAATCATTATATATATAATCATTATATATATATAGTCATTTTGTATATAATTATTATATATATGTAATCATTATATATATATAATCATTATATATATAATCATTATATATATAATGATTATATATAATGATTATATACATATAATGATTATATATATATAATCATTATATATATAATCATTATATGTATATAATCATTATATATAATCATTATATGTATATATAATCATTATATATATATAATCATTATATATATATAAATTATATGTATATAATCATTATATATAATCATTATATGTATATATAATCATTATATATATATAATCATTATATGTATATAATCATTATATATATAATCATTATATAATCATTATATATATATAATCATTATATATATATAATCATTATATATATATAATCATTATATATATAATCATTATATGTATAGAATCATTATATATAATCATTATATGTATATATAATCATTATATATATATAATCATTATATATATATAATCATTATATGTATATAATCATTATATATAATCATTATATGTATATATAATCATTATATATATAATCATTATATATATATAATCATTATATAATCATTATATAATCATTATACAATCATTATATATATATAATCATTATATATATATAATCATTATATATATAATCATTATATGTATATAATCATTATATATAATCATTATATGTATATATAATCATTATATATAATCATTATTTATAATCATTATATATATATATAATCATTATATATTTATATTATTTATATACTACTTATATGATATATATATATAATCATTATATATAATCATTATATAATCATTATATATATAATCATTATATATATAATCATTATATATATATAATCATTATATATATAATCATTATATATATATAATCATTATATGTATATAATCATTATATATAATCATTATATGTATATATAATCATTATATATAATCATTATATATATATAATCATTATATATTTATATTATTTATATACTACTTATATGATATATATATATAATCATTATATATAATCATTATATATATATAATCATTATATATATATAATCATTATAATCATTATATATATATAATCATTATATATATATAATCATTATATACATATAATCATTATATGTATATAATGATTATATATAATCATTATATGTATATATAATCATTATATATATAATGATTATATATATATATAATGATTATATATAATCATTATATGTATATATAATGATTATATATATATAATCATTATATATATATAATCATTATATGTATATAATCATTATATATAATCATTATATGTATATATAATCATTATATATATATAATCATTATATATATATAAATTATATGTATATAATCATTATATATAATCATTATATGTATATATAATCATTATATATATATAATCATTATATGTATATAATCATTATATATATATAATCATTATATAATCATTATATATATATATATAATCATTATATATATATAATCATTATATATATATAATCATTATATACATATAATCATTATATATAATCATTATATATAATCATTATATGTATATAATCATTATTTATAATCATTATATATATAATCATTATATGTATATAATCATTATATATAATCATTATATGTATATAATCATTATATATATATAATCATTATATAATCATTATATATATATAATCATTATATACATATAATCATTATATGTATAGAATCATTATATATAATCATTATATGTATATATAATCATTATATATATAATCATTATATATATATAATCATTATATATAATCATTATATGTATATATAATCATTATATATATAATCATTATATATTTATAATCATTATATGTATATATTCATTATATATAATCATTATATGTATATATAATCATTATATATATATAATCATTATATATATATAATCATTATATGTATATAATCATTATATATAATCATATTATATATATATAATCATTATATATATATATATACATAATCATTATATATATAATCATTATATATATATACATAATCTATATATATATAATCAATCATTATATATATATACATTATATATATATATAATCATTATATATATAATCATTATATATATAATCATTATATGTATATAATCATTATATATAATCATATTATATATTTATATATATATATACATAATCATTATATATATAATCATTATATATATATATACATAATCATTCTATATATAATCATTATATATTTATATTATTTATATACTCCTTATATGATATATGTATATATATATATATATATTTGCGCCAATTTTGAAACCCACAAGATGATCGCAGGCGCCTGGCCCAGGTCAGTCTAAAGGCCGAGCTTTCGGATGGCTTCGAGGCGGACATGGTGCCTGAGCACACCCTGCCCGGGGCCATGGCGTGGCCGCGTTGGCATAGAAAACTCCACAAGGAAAAGGAACATCAAGTAACTGCCTGTACTAAAATGCTGGGAAATGGATGGAAATGCTGTTGGCTCTTTGTTTTTGGATGTTTTTGGGGCTGGGGGTTGGGGTCAGAGACGAGGCTCTTTGTTGAGCCCTGTATATAAGCCGAGGCCCATTGGCCCCTTGGGTCCAGCCAGAAGGGAAGCTGAAGCCCGGCTCCTGGATGCAGATGTCTTGATTCTCTAATACTTTAAGATTTTAAAGATTCTTTAAATATCTTTGAGTTTTTTCATCTTGAAACTGGGATGATGATCCTGTATCCCAATTAGTTGAAAGATGCTGAAACCGCCAACTAGATGAATCTAGGTTGCCTCCATGTTTTTTTCCTGTCCTGCAAGGCTCCAGGGACATGACTGAGACCGGCTTTTCCTTGGAATCGTTTTTGGTCATGTCAAGCAGTTTCCCTCACGGTGCTTTGGCCCAAGACACGGTGTGATCGACTTCACCACCTGCGACCAACCCTTCAACGGTGTAGCATGACTGAGGATCACGGCGACTGGCTGAATTTTGCGGCTTCCTGTATGTCCGATGTACAGTGGGAGGTGGCCGCAATCCGACCAGAAGCAGTGCTCTCGCATCGCTCATGCCCTTGGGGTGGTCATTTGATAAAGATGGAGACAAAGACACTTGGTTAATTTTTGGACCCAGCCTCCCCCCGGGATCACCCATGTGGCCGAATGCCATGCCCCAGGGATGCGTTTGCCTCGGGTTTGCATTAATTACTTTACAAACGAGGTCAAATGATGCTTTTTTTTTCAGATCAAGGCATGTTAGGCATGTTTGCTTTCCCATGGAATTTTAACAGCAAGTTGCAGGATTGTCAAACCTGGATTCATTGAAGGGTGAGCCATCGTCAGCCTGCCTTAAACCAAACGATCCAATGTGCAATGTCCACATCGTACTAATAACCCCTCCTCAAACATTAACTAAGGGAACCTAAATATGATGTGGCCAAACAAAGGTCTGGGTCCATGGCATTTTTTGACATCTAGGTGTTGCGGAACAAATTGCCTAATTGAAGACACATACATATATTATATAAGTGTAATTTTGGGACCCTGCAAGTTGCCTAAATGAAAACGAATACACAACCTCAATTTGCAATCCAAGTGCTGCACAAATGGCCTAATCGACAACAAATACATGTTGGAAGAGCTTTTGCGTTTTAAACATTGCGAAACAAGTTGCCTAATTAGAACACGAATACATCCCGGGAAAGCTTTTGCATTTTAGTATTGCCGAACAAAATGTCTAATTGACAACAAATACATGTTGAGAAAGCCTTTGCACTTTAGTATGGGGAGCCATTTGTTTGGGGAATTATTTAGAATTCTTTAGATGTATAATGATGTATGCAGTTTGTTTTGTTTGGTTTGGAATGGTTTGGATTTCTCCCTTTCCACTTTACTGGTTTTCTGCTTCTTTGTTCTTTTGCTTCTCTGCTTGTTTGCATTTTTCCCTTTTCTTTTGCTTCTCTGCATTTGTCTCTCTTCTGCGTTTCTGCTTCTCTGCTTTTTCTTTTTTTTGCTTTTCCATCTTTCTGCTTCTCTGCTTTTTTTTGCTGTTCTGTTTTTCTACCTCTTTCCTTTTTGCTTCTCTGCTTTTCCGCTCCTCGGTTTCTTCTTTTGTTTTTCTGCTTTTTCTGTTTTTGCCTGTTTGGTTTCTTTCCTTTTTGGCTTCGCCGCTTGTTTGTTTTTCTGCTTTTCTCTGCTTTTTGGCCGTCCTTTTTCTTCCCTGTTCTTCTGCTTTCTTCCAAGTACAACTACAGCAAGAACAACAAAAGCAACCAGAGCAACAAAAATAACCACAACCCAAAGAAGGACCCCGTCCAGCCGTTTCTATTCTGTTACTTCAAAGTTCTCGCTTTGATCTTTTGGGTTTCTTTGCTTTGGCGTAAAGACTATGAAGCCAATGATATGTAATTTTGATGTTTGTTGTGGTTCCGAATGGTTCCGAGGAGGTTCAAGGCTACCCCCTTTGCAGGCTGCTTTTTTTCCTCTGCATTTTAGAATAGGAGATGAATGAAGACATCGATGCATTCAGACATATTCAGACATTTCAGACCTTTCGGGATTTTAATTCAGATCTTTGAGGTCAGATTCAAAAAATCAGGAAGGAAAACAACTGAAGACAACTATAGGGTAAAAACCCGTTGGCGTACTTTAGTGTGGGGTGGTTTATGGCGGTTTTACTATTTTGGCCGGAGGGTTTGCATATTTAATTTATACGTTATTAGTGGCGGGGATTGTTAATCCGACGTGAACATTGAGGAATGTCTTCATCCAGAATGCCCCTTCAGATCCTGCTAATCTGCTGGTGCGCCCTGAAGTGCGGGCCCTGTCTCCGGCATATGCCAAACCCGAGAACCCAGCGGAGTACTCGTGGCGGTGTCTGGAGACATATGAGCCGGGTAATGCCTTGATGGAGCGCACCAACTGCATGTGGGCCATTCGCTTGTTGTCAGTGGCTCGGATGTGACGTTGTGGGATAGGGACCATGGGGAGAATTATGGAAAGAAACCAGAACACATCGGTAACTTCAGGAGGGTCAGATTCAGAAGTTGCTGGCATAACAAGCATCAAGAGCAAGTCGGATCAAGTACGGAGGCACAAACGCGCCGGCACGTGCGACGGTCAGCGGGTAAAATTCAAAAGGGTCGCACAATTTTACCTGACTGCAGCCAACCGCCTTGCAGGATCTTGCAGGTAGCTCTAGTGGTATGATCCCTGTCATACCAATACCAGGGGCGCGTTGGGATTGGGATCTTGCCACATTGATTTTAAGGGATCATCTCAGTTGTCCCTGGCCGGGATTCTCCTTTCTGCCTTTCCATACTTGTTCCGACATTTCCATGTGCGGTGAGTACGTCTTTGAGAAATGATGCTCTCCCGATTTTGTGTCTCAAGCATGCCGCCGTCCGTGATTCATGGTATTTATGGGATGGTCAAATAGTAGAACACTGTAGCAAAAAAGAAAGTGGTTTCTTTTTGTGAACTGTTTCTATGACATTTTTTTCCATGGTAGTTGCTTCTTTTCCACGTTGTCCAAAGATGTCCAAAGGCATTGTTCAGCTTTGAATCTAGCGAGGATCCACCAGCCAAGCTTCCTGTACTGCTCAGGTGCTGTTTGGTCACTCTCAGGGCTCCACCAGAGAGCACTTTTTTCAAAAAGTACGAACAGTGACCCGCCTCGCTCTCTACAGGGACTTTCCTGAACCAGGACAGCGTGCCGTGATATCCCATAGTTTGGTGGTTTTAAAGATCACGACGTGACTTCACATAACTAATTTGACATTCCCAAAGTGGTTGGGTTGAGACACTTCACCACACATGTTCGAACCCTGAAGGAGATTCCACCTATGTAGGAACAGAAACCATTTCAATTACCCGTCGTTTGCCACACCCTTCGGGCAGCAGGTACCGCTTGGTGTTTGTCTTCAGCACCCCAGAAGACAGCTGGACACATGCATCCTTGTGTCGCCAACACTTCCCTGCTTTCACTGACATGTTGCGCAAGATGTTCGAGAGGGTGGTGAATGGCCCCGGCTTCCGTGATATGCGGGAGGCTGATGCAAAGATGTACTTGGTCCTGTCCATGCGAAACTTCAATCGTGGACACCCTCTGGTCCCGCAAAGAGATCCTTCTTCGGATGAATCTATCGATGTTTCGGCTGGCGAACACATTGGCTTGGTGTCTTGGACCCGTTTCAAGTCTGATGAGAATTTCCCCTTGAGTGAGTACATGCGGGTCTTCATGGAGCGACTGGGGTACCAGTTGAAGATCTTTGGGGTCATGGATGGTCGCAAGCTTGTCCCCTACCAGTGTGCCGTTGTGCGGCAGGAGTGGGATGAGTTGAAGACAGCTTTCTATCAGGCTTTCAAGGTGCAGAAAGCCGCCTACCGCCATGGCAATGGAGGAAGCAAGAGCCCCAGCTTGACTGAAGATGCTTCCCCCCGTTTCTTGCCTGGTGTCCATCAGGGTGAGCTGCAAGCTCCACCAAAGCTCTTCAACACCACGGTGCGCAAGACATTTGTTGAGCTCGAGGAGGAAAGGCCGAAGCGGTCCACGCATTTGAAGCGGAGCCTCTCCACAGGGGAAGTGATGACGTGCTTTGTGTAGAGCTTAATTTGGCTACTGCTCTGCCAGTAGAACATTTTGTTTGGCCGATTGTGGGGAATTTTTTGAGATACTGTCACAGAGCAGTACTTGCAGACACTGGAGGTGTTTTTTTGCTTAATTAATTATTCGGAGGAGGTTCTGTGGAGGCTTCAACTGGGAGGGCAACATTTACAATTGGTTCAAGTGGCATGCAAAATGTAGAGCAACGTGGTAAACTGGTAAACTCAATGCCAAAACCATCCCTGACTTTGCCATGTTAGGGTCTTACAAGCTTAAACACAGGGTTCATCAGTAGGTTGGCCATGTTTGAACATGGAACATCTATGAACACCTCGCAATTGGCCAAAGTGGATGCACGGAGGTACAGATTGTACAGCCAGGGCTGCGCGGAGGACAGAACCTCCCGTGAGATCCTATGGAGATTGTGAAGTCAGTGGGAATAGAAGCAGTCAGACCATCGCATGGCTAGGCCGGGTAGGCCGGGTAGGCATTGGTCCCAAAAAGGATGGAGCTTATGGAGGTAGGACCAGGATGGACCAGGTAGGATGCAGCATTTTGTGCGTTTTGTTTTCCCCCTTTCTCCATGATGGTTCAATTGCATTCAATTGCATGTTTGTTTTTTTCTTTAAACTGTAGGTCCCAAATATTTGGGCAAGGAACATCCACGATTGCAATGGAAGAGTTGTCGATGGCGTTTTCCATTGCTGGATGGTATGCCGCTGGTTTCCTATGCCGCTGTTCTTGGGGGGACATTCTCATCATTCTCATATTAACACCTCTACCTCTACCAGGGAGCCAAAGAGTCCACAAGCCCTCATATTTAGCAATCCAACAACCTCACACGCAATGGTTAGCGAGTTTAGTGAACAAAACATATCAAAACATAGGTATACCATGCTGCTAGACCATCATGGAAATAGTGATTTTGGATGATTTTGGTATGAGTTGGTATGAGTTGGTATGCCATGGTATGCCAGTGTCACCGAGATGTTTCAATCCCACTGAGTCATCGGCGAAAATGCGGAGCCTCTCGGGCCTAGCCTCTAGCGCTCTAGCGGCCCAAAAAAGAAGCGGCAGGAGCAAAGCAGTTCTTGGATATGATAGTGGAAGGATGCACAGATACGAGCGGTATTGGATTCATTCCATGATTTTGGTGGTCTTGATAAAGAGGAAACTATAGTTGACACGTGTTAACATGCTATAAACCAACATCAACCTACAGTAACTATCAATTGGTGAGGCTTCTGGTTTGCCAGAGGGCCTTGTGCTTGAACACTTCCTGCCCCTGCCGCAATCTTTTGGACTTCTTTCCCTGGCCCAAGAGAAACGCGGTCGATAGGTCCCCTGAACATTGCTTGTGGCCCGGGAACCGACGCAGCATGGTGCCCGACTTCAGCGCTTGGATGAGTGTCGCCCCTTCTTGCATGTCAGATGCAGATTGGGAGGTGGCTCTGTTCAAAACGGCATAGAATTACGGTACATTCGCTATTGCCCCGAAAAAATGTGCTTTGATGGGGAACAGGATGAGAGTCCATCATCAAAAGAGTTTGGGGCACCCTATTTCCAGACAAACCGAGGTGGCCGCTGAAACATCAGAGGCTGTGCTTTCTCATCGCTCCTGCCTCTGGGGTGGTCGCTTGATCAAGATGGAAGTGCCGATGCTTGGATGTGGCGCTTTCAGACAGTCTTTTGGATCCCCACGGGTGCTCTTTGAAGGATATGTGTTGGTTGTTGAAGCTGTTCAGAGGGGTTCTCTAACAACCGTGGAGAATCCCCTGGTTGATTCTCTATGATTCTCTAGAAGCCATGAGGGGCCGTGGGGAATCCCATGGTATATTATGCACAGCCCACGGCGTATAGCATGCGATCTTTTGATATTCTTTTGATCAATGATGGTGCCAAGCTGCTCGTTAAAAGATGTTTTAAGGAGCCTCTTCATTGAGGACGCTCCTGGGGATTCCAAGAACCTGTTTGTTCGACCTGAAGCTGGGCCGTGCTTGCAATGTGTTTTACTTTTCCATACTTTTTTTTTGGTCAGAACTGAAACCAACAGCCCCACATTTGTCCCCAACCATCCCGTGACCCACAAAGGTTGTTGGGCAAGGCTGCCCTTGCGAAGATTTCCACGCGGAAACCCCTGCATTTGAACATCTACAGTAGTAACCCCATCCAAAAAATGGAAACGCATTTTGCTATCCAGTGGTTTGGAAGGGGTGGTTTGGTTATTCATACTCAGTAAGTCCAGAGCATATCCCGAGCCACATTCAGAGTTTCCCAACCACATGATAGACTTATCACATTTCGGTCAGATTTTACTTTTCCATCCTTTTTGGTCATTGGTTTAAGGGCAAATTCTCAGGAGACCCCCATATTTAATGGATTTTAACGGTAAATTTCATGGTTTCCTATGGTTTCCTGTAAATTTTCCCAAGAAAACCAATCCAACGCATCTGAAAAATTGTTTTTTGGCAAAACCCGGTGGTTTCACCGGCAGATTTTAAACGACCTCCCTCCAGGAGGTCTTCGGCAACTTGTCGCCGGGCCCGTTGGAGACGGGGCTGCGACACCTGGCCACCTTTGCACCGGGGGATGCGCTGTTGGATCGCAGCAACTCTATGTGGATGCTGCGGGTGGCTGCTGCGCCCCGTTTTTTCAAGCGGCCGTTCGAAAGCGGGATGATGGGCTTGCGGCAAACATAGGCAAAGCACCAATCTTGAGCTTGATCTTGATATCATACACCATTAATCACCATTAAATTATATATATATATATTATATGCATAATTCTATAATTGAAAATATAGACAGATTCGATTATGTTAACTAATGATAGATAAATCTCGCTGATGTTGCTGCGTTCTTGGAAGTTGGAGAGATTTGTTGGAGGGTTGAGTTGGTTTTGCACGGATGTTGGCCACGTCAACGTGTCCAGCGTTGTGGATATCATCAATGGCAGAGAGCTGTTACCAGAGGATATGTAAGGCCATGGGCCATGCAAGAATACCAACGTGAGTGGGAAAAGCAGCAAGAAGCAGATACTAATGTGGCAAACCCATGCCAACCCAACGATAAGTCGTTCCAGTACCCAACCATCTTAAACAGGGGCACACTAGTGGCTTGACCATGCTTGACCACATTACTGGCTCCTCTCCGTATCAAAGGTTAATTTGTTGGATTGAGTCCTTGTAGCATGTGCTTGTGCTGAAAACACGCCCAGCTGGGCTTAAAGCTGTCAAACACTGTAGCTAAAGCTGTCAAACACTGTAGCTACAGCCAAAATTTAGGTTAATGGAGAGTAGTATTGGAGACATCTTTATTTTTTGGAAATTGAGCTGGGGCTTGGAAAACGATAATACACTCTTCAAAAAATGATAACTTTTGCTTATATACGAAAACCTGAAAAACGATCATACACTCTTCAAACATTGATGACTTGGAGCTACATACCAAATATTGACCGTGGCCCATATGCTGTACATACTGTACATACTGTATCATTCTGTACATGCATACTGTACATACTGTACATACATACTGTACATACATACTGTACATACATACTGTACATACATACTGTACATACATACTGTACATACATACTGTACATACATACTGTACATACTGTACATACTGTACATACATACATACGTACGTACGTACGTGCGTAGGTACGTAGGTACGTACATACATACGTACATACCTACTTACATTACATTGCATTACATTACATTTCATTACCATACATCACCATACATACATTACATTACATTGCATTACATTACATTACATAGCATTGCATTACATTACATTACATCACCATACATACATTACATTACATTGCATTACATTACATTGCATTGCACTGCATTACATTACATTACATTGCATTACATTACATTGCATTGCACTGCATTACATTACATTACACATACATACATACATACATACATGCATACCATGCATACCATGCATACCATGAATTCCATGCATTCCATGCATTCCATGCATTCCATACATACCATACATTACCATACATTACCATACATTACCATACATTACCATACATTACCATACATTACCATACATTACCATACATTACCATACATTACCATCCATTACCATACATTACCATACATTACCATACATTACCATACATTACCATACATTACCATACATTACCATACATTACCATACATTACCATACACTACCATACATTACCATACATTACCATACAGTACCATACATGACCATACATTACCATACATTACCATACAGTACCATACAGTACCATACATTACCATACATTACCATACATTACCATACATTACCATACATTGCCATACATTACCATACATAACCATACATAACCATACATAACCATACATAACCATACATTACCATACATTACCATACATTACCATACATTACCATACATTACCATACATTACCATACATTACCATGCATTACCATACACTACCATACATTACCATACATTACCATACATTACCATACATTACCATACATTACCATACATTACCATACATTACCATACATTACCATACATTACCATACATTACCATACATTCCCATACATTACCATCATTACCATACATTACCATACGTACCATAATCTTACCATACATTACCATACATTACCATACATTACCATACTTACCATACATAACCATATACATAACCATACATAACCATAATAACCCTACATAACCAACATAACCCATAATAACCATACATAACCATACATACCCATACATACCTACATACATACATACATACATACATACAGACAGACAGACAGACAGACAGACAGACAGACACACACGTAGAACTTTGCAGGACAGCTGCAAGTATGCAGGGCAGGATCGCAAATCCAAGTGGATTTCAATATATTTCAACAATTTTCCGGCCACATCGACCACAGATCAAGTTCCTTTTCCAAAGGAGCTCTGGATCCTCACGGACCTGGAGCTTCAGCAGCTTTGAGCTCCACGGTTCCAGATGGAGAAACCCTATCGAAGAAGTTTGGAGGTTTGGATGTTGAAATGGTGTTGAATTTGAAGGTTTCCGTAAACAATTTTTTATGTCCAGAGTTTTTCATTTCACAGGAAAACAGCTGGCAGTTCTGATAGTTTCGCAGGAACCACAGGGCTTCCTCGCATCCTTACATTGACCGCTCTGGATGCTTTGGCCAAGAAGTCAGAAGGCCTTCCTCTCCATGCTTCGTGTTGCTTTCTGCTGTTGCACTCAGACAACATTCAAAATGTTTCATGCTCATTGACAGGCCAGATGCCTGGCATAATTCGGGAGGTCTTGACCAGACTCCTAGGAACACTTCGCACAGAGTTGCAGAGCCTCCTGGACAGGTGGGGATCAACAGCATTTCATGAATTCCACGTAACGTCACCGCAATGTGCCACTCGAAACTGGAGGCCAGGTGGAAACAACAAACCTTTGACTCCAATGCCACTGAGCCCACAGCATCGCCTCCAACTCCGTGGTTGGCAGGCGGGTTTCAACATGGAAATATGTTTTGAAATAAGGATGATTTGTTTCATTTATATTGTTAAACCTCATTGTTTCCATTTTTGGAGGATGAAGCAATGAATTCTAGGAGATTTGTGAGATTTGTTGGTGAAAGGCAATCTTGATTCTTGGATGCCACGCGAAGAACGACAAAGAAACTGCAGAAATGCTCCTCTCAGAGCTCTTCTGGCACCTCAGGCAGGGGATTGCGTGATTGTGAGGGTTGATCTGTCAAGGCAAGGAAGGCAAAGAGGTTACATTTTGGTGGAGAGATGTTTGGGTCTTGCCGCTGTGAGAATCTGCGCGAATCAGAATCCTACTGACTCTGGGCATGAACAGGACTCCGCATCTTCCAGATGTGCGTTGGGGATCTCAGAAGCACCAAATCTGGAGTGTTTTTGAAATGTACAAGGACTAGGCTGAACAGTATCCAAGGCTGAACAGTATCCAAGGCTGAACAGTATCCAAATCTTCCTTTCACTACCAAGGTGACTATCAAGAACTTCTCGGCTGCCTTCTCTGTGCTAGTTTTCAAGATCTAGCAATGCGACACCTGGTCCCTGCATTGGGCCGGTATGACTGTGCCTTGGATTATTGGTGCACCTTGTCCTTGGTGTCTTCAACTGAACTGTTGCGAAGAACAGTGCTACTACAAGCGAGGCAACAACCAAGTCAGTGCGTCTCTCTTGGCCGGGTGCCAAGTAGTCACAGGATGTCACAGGATGTCACAGGAAGATTGAGCTGTATGCAGGTGAGTTTTGTGAGAATTTCGCTGTGAGTTTTGTAAGTTTCCTAAGGTCATTTGCAGTTTTCTCTTCCGCCATTGGATTTGTCTTTCAGCTCCGCCGCCCCATGCTGTGCAGCTGCTGGTGGCAGTGGTGCCGTACCTGGGGCATAATTCTGCATATGTTCGAGGCTCTCAGCATTCCGTGGTCGTGGGTTTCTGTGAATAACATAGGTTTCATAGGTCTCCTGACTCTTTGGCTCGGTGTGGTGTGTCGCCTGTCAGCTTTCGTAGGCACAGCTTCCTGGGGATTCTACGAACTGATGGAAGTTGCGAAAGCCAATGGAGCCATTGAAGTTGGAGAGGAGTGCGGCAAGCGACTTGGATGGTACTATTCAGCGTTTAGCGCTCCGTGCGGTTTGTCATCATATCATATGGGTGTGTCGGAAAATGGGCAATGCCCCAGGAAAAGAAGTTTTAATGGGTAAAATGACGAGAAACCATGGTAGTTTGGGATATGTAGCCTCAAAACCATATTGGTACTGACTCAACTGACATTCAAAAGATGGTGTTCCCAGATTCTGCCAGATGCTTCCAGGCTACTGCTCGATTTGCATCGATTTTTGGCCACCAACCGTGAATGCCAAAAGATGCGAAGACGATTGCGACCCATCTACCAATCCTATGACACCTCGAAGCTCCGCGTCAAAAAAAATTGCTGAAAAGAGCACCGCCAGAGATCTTTGCAAAGAGAACTTGAAATGGTGAATCCCGGTGAATGGTAAGTCAGACTCAATTACAGCTCCAGCTTTGCAGGACAATATAGGACAATGTTGAGCTGCAACAGAAGTTGAAGTTAGCTGATTTTTCATAATTTTTCTTCAGTGGCCAATGACACCTGCTGGGTTTGGCCCAGATAGAAGTATATAGTCTTTCCAGGTTCATGATTTTCAACCTTCTTCACATAAAGTAGCAAATTACACAAAACGCAACTCTTAGGCCTGCCATTCGTTCCTGCAAGTTTTCTGTTTTGTTGATTTTTGTTGTGGATATCTCGAAATTATCAAGTTTGCTAACGAGATGCGAAACAAATCTGGAGGCAGTACTTCGTACCTATGAAGTTGAGATAGTTGAGGCAATAGGAAGTCTATGGAAGTCTTAAGTTCACCTGAGAAGAGAAGCTCCTTTCAGTTGTCGTCAAGTTGTCGTGTGAGGTCTGCATTGGAGGCGTTGACGCAGCTGTCAGAAGTCCTTCCATCAGCTGAAACTGAGAAGGAGATCTTGCAGCCGTTGCACATCTTTGCAAATGGAGACTTCAAGACGCGTCCTTGGATCTTTTAGATCTCTTGGATCTGTTGAGTCTTTTAGATTTTTTAGATGCCTTGGTTTGGGGGGACAAGATCAGTAACTATAGCTGGTGCAGTGATGTCTCTCCCAAGGCCTTCTCACACGTTTTTGGAGCTGCTGAAGGAGGAGGTTGCAAAGGAGCCTCGGAACACTGAAGCTTTTGGTGTGTTATTTCGGCTTGTTCCTTGGGCGTCTTATTATTAGTATTGGTATATTATTGTATTGGCATTGATTTTTATTGCTGTTTGATGAATTTATATCTGATCCCATTTCTTGACAAACCTCAGAACGCTTCACAAGGAGATGGAGAGCATTTTCGAGGGAGAGGATGCAAGCCAATACGCTTCATCATCTGAGCACTGGCAGGCGGGTCCCAAGGGTCCCCCATCGGCAAAAAAAGGCACCAGAGCTGTCGAGTCGCAGCACAGGAAGCTCAGCTTGCAGCACTACGTGCTGTCCAGCAACTTGAAGGCGGACCATGGCGATGGTTGCAGCCTTCACATGTGATGAAAGCCTTTTGTCACAGTCTGGAACATGGGGGAATTCATTTGTGAAACATGTGCTTTTTGAAGGTTGCACGTCATATCCCTATTGTTCTGTGAACTGGGTTATCCTCTCCATATTCAATCCCTTCAAACAATAATCGTTGGATACCATTAGAACTACTATATTATAATAGTGACGTTGATATTATAGTTATGGCCCTACGGCACCTCACCTTCCAGTTGACTGCCATGTGTGCATGGACAGGTTCCAAAGATGAAGTTCCAGATCTTGTTGCCGTGGATGCTGCGGGTGGAGCATCAGGGTTGCTGCTTGGCTTCAACGTGACCGCATGATATATGAGAATGGGGTACACCCCCAAATGGCCATTCGGTAAGAAATATGATTCATGATGATAATTTGTTAATCCCTGGGATTTTTGGAATGTCCTATTCTCAGATAATGAATATGATTTCAGATGTTTTGATCAGCGCAGAGAACAAAGTGCTGTTGAAGTTCACGCTGCGGAGGCAACGAAAGTTTGTGCCTCCAGCGCCGCCACGTTTGCCAGATGATTCAGGTTCGCCCGATGTCGTGCTGGACGGTGTTGAATTCACGTAGATCAGATGCCTGGGGTGTGCAGGTAGCATTTCGGTATCAAAGCGTGCCCCTTTGTTGGTGCTGGCCTCTCTTGCTGCTTGCCTAATCAATTGGTTCTTACTGTATGTCTTGAGAGCACATCATGTTTTGATTCTATCCCACCGAGCTGAGTCATTCTCAAATTCTGAACACGTGTGAGGTTGACAAATTGCCAAACTTGGCTGGTCTGTGCCGGACGTGCGAAGTCTTTCATTGTGAAGCCTTATGTTTGCCGAACTTGAAGGCTTGGTGGGCATGTGGGCGATTTTCTTTTGCATCCACAGTGCAAAACGTCCAGTGCTAGCTCATAGGTGAATGATATTGATGAAGATCAATGCAGATCAATGCATATTGTAACCGTGTTGTTTCCATTTTGTTTCCCTCCTAAACTGTCAGGGATTCCGCTGCCAAGCGTTCCAAGGTGACGTCGGAGCAGGCCTTCCAGTCCATCTCCGTGACAGCTGAAAAATGGCTGCCGCTGCGAGGAGTCTGTAGCTCAAAACCTGAGAAGTCTTTGCTTAACGGCTTAACCGCGTCAAAGATTTACAGAGAGTGAGGGTACCCTAGGAATTTCGGAAGCAAGGAAAGAATGAAGATGTAGATGATGTAGACCATCTCAGATTGTCAGATCCATGCAAGCGCTTCAAACAGAAAGATGGTCACGTTGCTGAAAGATGTTGCGTTGGATCTTCAGCTCGGTCGATTCACTTGAGGTACCCAAGCCGAAGCTAAAGGAAGAACTTTTGAAACTTCGAAAAAGTGGATACGCATTGGTGGGTGTAGAACAGACGCACACCAGTGTGCCGTTGGACCAGCACTCGGCTCAGACGGGGGTGAGATATCATGTGATATCATACATAACCGGCATTGATTCCCACAGGTTCGTTTTTGGATGTTTTTGGCATGGGCTGAGGTGGAATTTTTCCGAGAACACAGCTATTCTCCTAGGTGCCGTGCGCAGGTAAAGTGGAAACAGTGGCAGTGGCGATTTCTACCTTTCCTGCGCGTCGCTCAGGTGCCGAAAAGGAGGGCATTGATGCAGATCTGTTGCCACTGCTCGATGGTTGCGTGGAGATCCCACAGCAAGGTCAGCTGCGATCCTTGAATGCGTGGCACCCTAGTTAGGCCCTAGTGCCCTAGTGGTTTCGCAGCTTGTACAAATATATGGTGATGGGTCAAACAACCCTGTACCCCTCAGGAACATTGAAATGGGGGGCAAATAGATGTTCAACACTGACAGCACCCAAAGCTAGTAGTTTGGGTTTTGACCGATGCCACCAGATGTGGCAGTTCATTCACATTCCACCCAGTCCATCCCAGTCCAAGAACCTCAGCATTTGACTTGGTGACTTCCAAGGTTCATGTCAGCGGATCAATTGTTATTTGGGAGTACGTTCGCCAGGCCATTACTGGTTAATCGTATCAATCGTAAAGAAAGGATCGCTTTCTTTGGTGCAAGATGTGCAAGTCGTAGATGTCGGAGAATTCTTCGGCAAGATTCACATTCTCAAATTTTCTCAAACCCAAAGCTGAAGGCTTAACGTTTTGCCCTGTGACATGAAGTGCAGGCGCGAAGCCGCGCTGTAACAGCGAACACTTCTGACACCTTGACAACCTAAGCTTAATCTCAGCAGACAGCTGTTTTGAAAGTTTGCTGATCGACCGATCGCAGCGAGTTGCGAAAAGGATGATCAGGTGCAGACGGTACCTGGTTTTGCGCGGTTCGTGTATTTGTGGAAACAACCATCAATGAAGTCCAGAAGTTGCTGCAGTGTTGAGTATGGCTCCGTGATTCAATACCCAGATTGCGCATGAAAGTCATCCTTCCAAACACTGAGAGCCTTCACATGCTGAAACTTGAGATTCCAAGAGCACATACACCTCAGAACTTCACTCAGAACCTACCTGGAACCCGGTATTGCTATATTTTGCTGAGTCCCTTTCTGAAAGCCTGAAGCCATTTTGCTATGTTGTAGGCAGTGCTTGTACCTCCATTGTCCGCAAGAACTGTGAGCTTCCCTCATTCGATGCCATGGAGGACTATTGTGGAGACTTAGTTGAGGTGCGCATCCTAAGACAACTCATTTTTTCTTTTTTTGCCACGCCTGTTGGTGAGCAGTCTGCTATTTAGCTGTGATTGTTGATATTTTCCCCTCTTTCAAAAAAAGAAATCAGATTTTTCAGAAGTGTTCAGCTAAGCTGAAGTAGCTTGGAAAATCTTGTAAACACCTTTGTGACTGGACAGGAAATGGAAAACTGGTTGTCAAGTGATGACTTTGACCGCTGAGAACTCAGTTTTCGCTTCATTGCACCACTTCGCTAGTCGAAGCACCGAGCATCGAGGCGCATGGCGTGAATGCTATGCGCGTGCCACAGATGTGCAGAATGGGTTCCTTTTCATCCTCTTTTTCCTTGTTTTGACCGTATGTTCCACCACTTGCACTCAGGACCGCGCTTGCAAGGGGTCAACCGGACGATCAGACAGAAACATTTCTGAGGCACTTTATTTTGCTCAAGCTGCGTTTGTTTTGCCACCGTTGTGATTGCAAGCGAGCTGCGAATGGCGGAACTTTTGCCAGACGCTTCTTCTGCAAACAGCTGCCAGCTTACACAACCACTTGCCTCTTGGCGCGCCAGGATCCAAGAAAGAGAATGAAATCATGCTGTTGGACCTTTTGTCATTTTGCACTGCTCCTCACTTGCTGAATAAAAAACAGGTTGGAGCGAATGATTCCAGCACCTGATGCGGAGTTTCTCTCTCAGCGAGTCTGACAGCTTGACTTTGAACTAAAGCTTGGACAATGCAGGATTTCTGACATGGAAACAGGGTGAAGGAAGAAACCTTTCCTTCAATATGTCCTTCCAAAATTGGCCACATTATTGAGGTTCGTGAGGGGAGCCCTCGAAGCAGTGGGTGTTGAAGACCCTCGTCGAGCTGGTCTACAGGAGTGAAGTCTATCCAACATTTCAACCCTTTCCACAATTCCTAGGAGTCTTATCCTCTTCTGCTTGCACATCATCCTGCGCCCTGCTGGGCCTTCATACATTCAGAGAGCCCTGGAGATCTTGACCAGGACTTGGAACACTTTGAAGCAGCACTGGTGGTGGTGCACGTCTCATACATGCTCTGCACATTGGGTTCAGATGCAGTGCAACTGTCGTGTGCAACAGAAACATGCCACACCATGCTACACCATGAGTGGCATTAAACCCAGGTGTACACGCATTTGGCGCACTGCGCTTCTTTATTGGAGAGTGAGATGCCAGGACAGGAATGCAGCGTGAATTTCAAAGCCAAGATTATTATTTTTGATTTAGAAACGAAGAAAACATTCTCAAAGACAGTTTTCCCTGGTCGAAAGGCAAGTACAGTAAGTGCCATGCATTTTCAACAGCAGCAGGATAGATGTTGTGCAGACTTTGAGAGCTCATTTACTTGTGCAAAACATCCGGACACTTCGAAATTCGCAGTTTGTACAAAACAAGACTCCATCAAGTAGAGATGCGGTCTTTGCCTAGTAACCCTAGTAGTGCATTTGCTCTTGCAGTTTTCATGGTGAAGAAACCTGTGACACTTCAGGCTGAGATTGTATAATGATTTGCATTTCACAAAAGACCTTTGGTTTTCCTAATTTTCTGCTTGTGAGGAATGGCTCATGCTATTCTGACTGGAAAGATTGACCCACGAGGTGCATGACCAGCTGTCCATAAGTGCAGCGGGTAAAACAGGGCATCCTTTCTTGGGGGGAGCTGGTGTACTCGTATTCTTTTGGAGTGGCAAGCGCTTCATTTCGTAGTCTTGTGGCGCATTGTGAAATACATGAGGACATCAATAGACATCGTAGGCCAAGACGTTCATTCCTGCTACTGTTTATTACAATCTGCCGAATCTAAGTGCCGCCATAATTCAAGACGACCAAGAAATCTCTTCAGTCTGTTTTTTTTTAAAGATGCCTCTGGCATCATAGCCTTGCCTGGCTGACATAGAAAGACTTCTGACTTTGCATTGATGGCCGCTATCTGCAGCTTGGCTCATAAATCCGGCAGGATATGTAGATATACGTAATACCAATATATACATATATATATATATACAAAACTACAATATATTTACATGTATGACTTATGTGTGTATATATATATAATACATAGTTCTATATGTATATGTATGTGTATATATATATATGTATGTATGTATGTATGTATGTATGTGTAGACGTAAATATCATGGACGAGCAAGCAAAATGTTTAGGAGTTGCTGCACCAGCCAATAGAGGATAAATCCACATACTATGCACTGTGCACCTATATTCATCTTCGCTTTACCTTTTTCGCGTCATCTTGCAAGCGAAAACGTGCTCTGCGAGGCAAGGACATATGCAACTCTGAGTTTTCCAGATAAGATGCGGTCTAGAAAAAGTGACACCGATTCGATTCTTCAGCTGCTTGCATTGAATTCTTGTTGTGCACGGTAGGGACGCGCTATGCGTGGCTGGAAGGTGCATGCCAAGTAGATATGCATTCTGAATTCTGAATTCGGAATGTGGGGTCCTGCAAGCATGCACGCATACAGAATTTTTAAATGAACCATGGTATCCATAGAGTGAAAGCCAGCACTGATTGGTTCGGACGGGTTGGGCCCTCTGTTGGAAAACCATTGGAGTATCAGATTTATTTCATTGGAAGACTGAGGTAGCCACGGCCTTGGCTGCCATCAACTGGCCCAATGCATGGGCAGAGTTGAAGGCAGTGCCCCAACTCATAGATTTGAAACTGTCCCAATTCCAAAGATTTCCAAAGCGTGTTGTAACGCAAAATTGCTTCCAACTGGCTTCAGGCATTGAAACAGGAGCCTGTAACAGATTGGGCAGATTTGACGCCGGACACATAGCATTCAACAGCCTGGCCATGTGCGAACAAAATACATAGAACCAATGTGTGTCATTTGGGTTTTTCAGGGCGAAGGATGAGCCTGATTCCAAGCAGGCGCAGCCGCGCAGTGGCATTCGTACCGAGATGTTAAAGGCCTGATTTGTCTGTCAGGATATGGACAGCTTAAAAAAGCAACTGGAGGACGAGAAAAGAAGTCGACTTGTGCAGGAGGCTGGATTCCTACAAGCATGAAACTGGATTGAAGCTGGTGCAAAGTTTCGTTCCGTTGTTTTTGTATTCACGAAATCATGAAACTGTTTACAACAAGAAAGTATTTTCCCAGGCTGCAGCAACTGAAGCTATCAGAAATGTGTTCGGAACCCAGTGCTTCTCATCCTTGCTCCAAATACGTTTCGTGTTATCAGCTTTTATCAGCTTTTATCCGCTTCAGGACAGAACAGATGCAGCTGCGGAGACAAGCGGAGAAGACAACAGCGGAGACCAGGTCAGAGTCGCTGAGTCAAAGTCGAGTCAAGTGGTCCGCACCGGCCGCAGTGGCTGACACGATCCGCCAGGTCAAGACTGGACAGCGCGCTGCATGACCTTGCGGAGGAAAAAAACGAAGTCAAGGACCCGAGTTCAGTTTTTCCAATAAAAGATGAATAATGTATATAAATTTATGTAAATACAGTTAAATATGCACTATCATAGGCACTTCACTCCAGTAGTTCCAGGAGCAGATTTTGTATTCACCATGCTGCAAGAAATGTTCTTCCTTTCGAAGGACCTGAGAGAAGCTCTGCAGAAGCAGGGAAACGGAACAGTTGCAGTCGT